GTATTGCTACGTGCGGAGAGACATGCGGCAGTGGTGCAATACATTCGTCATGGAGAAAATGATCTCATGGATTTTGAGCCACATATTTTATTTTTCTAACAATCTCCACCTTGGATCAAATCCACTATGAAATTAACAACTGGAACAGTCGACTAAACTCAAGCACTACTTGAACTTAGCAACAAGAAGAGCCTCAGAATAGCAGGATGAATCACCATCAACTTCCTGTGTGACTAAAAGAGCATAAGCAACCATGTTGGTTTCATCATCACTAGCATACCTAGCAGGTTTTTTAATTGTCCTCCTAGGACGATCCATAGCAATGGAATACTCTCGTTGTGGCTCGACGAGAGGTGCGGTGCTAGTAGATGCATCATCTTTAGTATTACCATCAGCAGTAGTAACACTATCAATATGCCTGAACTCAAACTCCACCTTCTCACCAGTATTCTGCGTCTCATCTGTACTGGGAACTTTTCCAGAAGAAAGTAGTGCATTTTCATCAAAAGTGATATCTCGATTCAGAATGATTTTTCCGAGAATTAGGAGACCATAGACGATACCCTTTTGACTCAGAGACATAACCAAGGAAAATGCATTTGACAGCTCTTGGGTTTAATTTACTCGTACTGAAATGAGCATAAGCAGGACATCCAAAAACTCTTAAGATAGAATAGTCAACAGGATTACCTGACCAAACTTCCTCTGGAATTTTGAAATCAAGGGATGAATGTGGAGATCTATTTACCAAATAGCAAGCAGTAGAAACGGCCTCTGCCCAAAAATCATGCCGTCTCCATAACCCAGCATTAGAGAGCATACAACGAGCTCTTTCCAATAGAGTCCTGTTCAAACGTTCGGCAACACCATTCTGCTGGGGTTTACCAGGCAAGGTCTTGTGCCTGGGTTATTCCATTTGCCGCACAAAAGTCATTGAAATCTGACTCACAGAACTCCAAGCCATTGTCTGTCCTGAGCTTCTTGACTTTTTTACCTGTCTGAGTCTCAACAAGTATTTTCCACTTCTTGAAAATAAAAAATGCCTGATTTTTATGTTTCAGGAAATAGACCCAGACTTTACGAGAAAAGTCATCAATAATAGACATAAAATATCTACAACCTCCCATACTCTGGAATTTAGTCGGTCCCCATAAATCGGAATGTATGTATTCCAATACATCTTTGGTACGGTGTGTAGCAGTAGAGAAACTAACCCTCTTTTGTTTCCCAAAAACACAATGCTCACAAAATTGTAATTCACCCCTACCTGAACCACCAAGGAGGTCTTTCTTGCTCAGGAGATGCATGCCTTTCTCACTCATATGCTCCAGACGCATATGCCATAATTGAGTGAGATCCGCATCAGACATCGATGAGGACACCGCTACTGAACCTGTCACAGTACTGCCACGCAAGACATACAAGCTTCCAGAACGAGAAGCTTTCATGAGAAAAAGGGAACCTTTTATGACTTTTAGAACTCCACCTTCAGCTATGTACTTGCACCCCAAGGATTCCAAGGTGCCCAAGGATATCAGATTGCGTTTCAAATCAGGAATATACCGAACATTAGTAAGAGTCCTGATAACGTTATCATGAGTTTTAATCTGAACATTTCCAATTCCACTAACCTTGCATTGGGTATCATTACCAAGCAAGACAACTCCACCATCAACCGGTTCTAGAGAGACGAACCAGTCTTTGTGAGGACACATGTGGAATGTACAACCAGAGTCCAGAATCCACTCGGTTTCGCTCCGTTTGCAACCGGAGCTAACAGATAACATAACATCGACTTCTGAATCACTTTCAACAACACTAGCTTCAGCGGACTTCTTTTCTCTCTCTTGCTTGTTTTTCAACTTGAAGCATTCAGTCACATCATGACCATGCTTCTTGCAGTACTTACAGGATTTGTTGGACTTTCGTCCTTTGGACTTGGATCTAGAATTTTTATTGCTGCTCCCTGATTCAATTGAACGACCCCTTACAGTCAAGCCTTCACCTTTGTCCTCAGACTTAATTTCAATGTCAAACTTTTCTTTGGACAATAGGTTTAACTTAACACTGTCGAAAGTAAGGGTATCACTACTATTACCGTACAACATAATTTCTTTGAAATGCTTGTATGATTTAGGGAGAGAGACAAGCAATAAAACAACACGATCCTCATCTTCAATTATGACATCAATATTTTCCAAGTCCAATAAAATAGAATTGAATTCATCCAAGTGAGATTTAATAGAAGTACATTCCGTCATACGCATTGTGTATAGACGCTCCTTTAGGCGTAGCGTGTTCGCTAGAGTTTTGGCCATGTAAAGCGTATCCAGCTTGGACCATAAATCTGACGCAGTCGTCTCACTTACTACCTCATGTAGAACCTCTTTAGACAGACACAAAAGAATGGTTGAACGTGCCTTGTCATCCAAATCTTCCCAAGTTTCATCTGTCATTGTAGCTGGTTTTTTCTTCTTCCCAGCTAGAGCTTTCTTCAAACTGTTCTGGGTTAGAACGGCTTCCATCTGAACCTTCTAGATAGAAAAGCTAATTTTCCCGTCAAACTTCTCGATATCGAACTTGGTAACAGTCGACATCTTTGAAAATAATTCTCAATTAAACCGCTCTGATACCACTTGTTTGGAATATAGCGGAATAATGCGGAAGCGTAGAATCGAAAATTGAGAATTATAGAAGTTAAATAATAGGAAAATATATAAATGACAGAATAAATTAATAAGGATGGGAATATATATATATATATATATATATATATATATATATATATATATATATATATATATATATAAATCTCTATAAAGAGAATTAAAAGATAATATATATATATATTGCATACGTGATAAGACAAAGTAAATGAATAAATTCAAATGGTGAATTGATGTTGATAAGAGGTGCATTACAAAGCAAGGAAATCTAATCTATTTATACAATAAAATATAGAGACAAATGTGGAGGATTAGTGCATGTAATGGTGAATGTATTGCTACATGTGGAGAGACACGCGATAGTGGTGCAATACATGTGTCATGGAGAAAATGATCTCATGGATTTTGAGCCACATATTTTATTTTTGTAACACAAACCTAGGCTGATAGAGCCAAGAGGGGACCATCATCGTGACTACGAGTGGCCATGGAATGAGTTCGGACTGTGGACCACGACGAGCGCCCTCTCGACCGGCCACGACATCGTTGACCAGCGACGCGCTCGTCGTGTGCCAAGGACTCATCTTGGGCCGGTTATGGCTGGTTCGACTCGTGAACGGCTGGAATCAGTTCAGGAGGCACGGGTCAAACCATGTTGGAGGATGAAGATGGAACAAATACTGATTCAGCCCATGGTTGAGATGCTTGAACAAGTGGTGCCTGCAAAACTGTCTTACCAAAAGGAAAAACAGTTTCATCAAACCGAACGTGCCTGCAGATATATACCTTGTTAGTCTAAAGATCCATGCACCTATACCCCATAAAAGACTCACGATAGCCTAGGAAGATACAAGGAGAAGATTTGTAAGACACTTTCTGACGATTATAGGGACGCAAATAAGGATAGCACAAACAACGAAAGATACGAAGAAAAGAATAGGATGGAGGGGACTTATGCAATAAGAGATGAGGACTAGATTTATTTATCACGTTGGATGGCATTTTATTAATTAAATAAACCGCAGTCTCAAAAGCATAATCCCATAATTTTGAAGGAATAGAGGCACAACTTAAAAGAGCTAGACCTGTTTCAACAATGTGTCTATGCTTTTTTTCGACATGACCATTCTCTGCAACTTTTTGTACTCAACTGCTAGATCAGACTGTATGGAATTAATTTTGTGATTGAATGAACGTTCAACCATAGCTCGAAATTTATCAAAGACAGTATATAGATCAGACTTTTTGTGACATAGGGAAGTACCAAGTATATCAAGAGTAGTCATCAACAAAAATAACGAAATATCGATAGCCATTAGTAGAAAGAATAGGAGCAGGTCCCAAAATGTTTGTGTAAACTAAATCAAGAACACATGAACTAGAAGACTCAACACACGGTAAGGGAAAACTGGCAGATTTCCCTAATTGACATGCATTACACAGACCCAAATTACAACGAATAGTATTTCTAGAACCACTAACCGAACAAGAAGAAAGAATTTGACTGAGAACCCGTTGATGGGGATGACCAAGACGATCATGCCAAACAGACGCTGAGGCTCTAGCCGAAAAAAATGCAGTAGGAAACGAACGTGGAATGGGAAGCTTGTAAAGCCCTCAAGAACTATTGCCCCGTAGAAGTGTTTCCTTGGTGTTGATATCCTTCACAACAAAAAACGACGGTTGAAACTCAAAAAACACCTTATTATTTATCGCAAATTTTTGAACGGATAATAGGGATGTAGACAAACTGGGAACATGAAGAATATTAGACAATTGAAAAGATATAGAGGGGGAATTAAAGGTAGCATGAACAACATGACTAATACGTAATCCCATACCATCGCCGACACGTAACATGTCATTACCATTGTACTCTTCTAAGAAGGATAGAGCAGTTATATCCGAAGTGGCATGATTGGTGGCACCTGTATCTGGAAACCAGGTTTGAGAACCTTGAGAATCTGAGGGAGGTTCTTGATATATAACATTAGCTTGAGAATCCTTGGCACACCAAAGATGACAAGTAGAAGTAGTGTGACCGAACGCGTGACAAAGTTGACACTTGGGTTGTAAATTGCCATTGCGCCCTCCACCACGCCGACTGCCACCTCGACCACGGCCGCCGCTACCACCCAGCGACTGTCCGGCCTGGCCGCTGTTTTGCCTGGTGTTCTGGCCGGACCCACGTCCGGAGTTATGACGCCCGGAGCCGCGACCCTTTTGGCCGCCTTTTTGCGCCGTGAAAGCAGCCGACAAGCCATCGCTGGGACCACCACGCATCAAGAATTCCTCCGCGCCCAAGATATCTGCAAGCTCTTGGAGCATAACTGGCTAGCCGCGCACGTTGAGAAACAACGCGAGACTCCTGAACTCTGGCCGTAACCCCCGAAGAACGTAAAGATTTTGTTCTTCAAGTGTCATAGGTTGGTCGGCGAGAGTGAGTTCCTCGATCAAAACCCTTGCCTTGCCGATGTAGTTA